TATACCATGGTAACGTGTAGTATATATACTCAGATTTGAGTTTTTAGGATAGACATGGAATATCCCACATGACATGGCAGTAAACAGCAATGATTAATAGTAAACAGGTGCCCTACAGATCTGGAACACTTTGGTAAGAGATGTACAGAAATAACATGTAGTCTTAACATACTGATCATTGTATCACACAGGAGGGGAATACTCTCAGGAGATGCCGGTCATTGTTAAGAGGTTTTTCGAGGACACACTGACCGAATTGTGTGTGGCCTGAATAGACAGGTGACAGTAGGTCCTTGTAATTGTTTGCTTTTAGTGTCCCAGTCTTGGGTTCGGGGATCAAAGCAATGTTCACTGCTCTGTCAGGTTGGCTTTGTGGAAAGAGCTGATTATCTTCTAGATACAGTTTGCTAAGGTTGTGTATTTGTGAATATTTTCATGCAATAAACATTGCTTGTTCCGCGAAGTAAGGTGAAGGATATTAATCATGCTAACAGTGACGGAGTTAAAATATTGCATCAGCATTATCATGAATAGTTCTGCCATATTTTAACAGTATATTTGCTTACCAGTTTATTCACAGGAATGAAGAGTGGTGTGTTCTAGGAGTACTACCTATTTGATAAGAAAATTATAAAATGATTGATTCTAACAAATGTGCATTTAAAGTATTTTGGGGCTGCATTTCCACTTGTAGATTGCAATGATAAAGCTGATTTTCCCTGCCACTTTTAGCAGAATTGGAGCATTTATTATCACTATTGCGGTAAAAAGAACCGGCTTCATCACCCTTTCCATGTGGGAATCAAACCTGAGTTGTCTTTGTCATAGGTGGATCCAGAGGGGGTGTACGCACCCCCTTTGTCCTGAAAGTTTTTAAATGACCATTGAAACTCGCGTGAAAATGAAGTGTGCACCCTCCCTTTTCTCAATAGTGTGCACCCCCCCACTTTCTCAAAAAGCTGTGTCCGCCCCTATTTGTGATGAAACACTTCCCCCATTCTGCTACACTCAGAATGACACTTTTCTCAAGACAATAATTCTGAAGTTTCCTGTCACCGATAATATTTCTCAGGTTTAAATAAGGGCTTTGATAAGATTGAGACCGGCAGCATAAGTCCATGAGGTAGTTTGGGGAAGGTTTGGCTCATTAATTCCCAAGGTTGTGTATGCCCCAGGGTCGACAGGTTCCTGGTGTGTACCTCTTCATGTTTTCCAGCTCCATCTGTCTTGTGGCAATCTAAGTGTTGCATCACCCGCTTCCAGTGTTTACCTGACCTGCCCCTGATACATCAGACATGCAAACTTTGCCTAGGGGATTGTGTTTAAATGATGTGTGTTGGCGAACATTGTCCATGGATGTCTTGCAGTTGTGTGATCCCCAGGGAGTTGAAAATGCAATTTGAAAGCAGTGATCTGTTGATGTTAGTAATGTCTGGCACATGCCTGTTTGAATGTTGAGTTACATAGGTTGTCGGTTGTTAATGCAAGGGGATCTGTAGGGGAATTGAAGACTAGACACACACCTGTCAATATCATTCTTTTCTTTAAGATGCATCCCACTGTTACTTGAGTAATGCCATGCTCAGCAATATAACAGCTACCTGATGGTGGTGGGTAAATGACCCAGTCTGGACCACACGATCCAGTGATTGATATCTAGTAGAGGTTATTGCTCACTATGTCTGATAATCGTAATCCCACAAGAAAACCTCATGTTGGGAATAACAGGACACAATCATAACGACCCATGAAGGTCCGGGTTAGAATGAACCTTCAGTAACCCATGCTTGTCTCCCCATATAGGTCCAGGTTAGAATGAACCTTCAGTAACCCATGCTTGTCTCCCCATATAGGTCCGGTCCGTTAGAATGAACCTTCAGTAACCCATGCTTGTCTCCCCATATAGGTCCGGGTTAGAATGAACCTTCAGTAACCCATGCTTGTCTCCCCATATAGGTCCGGGTTAGAATGAACCTTCAGTAACCCATGCTTGTCTCCCCATATAGGTCCGGGTTAGAATGAACCTTCAGTAACCCATGCTTGTCTCCCCATATAGGTCCGGGTTAGAATGAACCTTCAGTAACCCATGCTTGTCTCCCCATATAGGTCCGGGTTAGAATGAACCTTCAGTAACCCATGCTTGTCTCCCCGTGTAGGTCCGGGTTAGAATGAACCTTCAGTAACCCATGCTTGTCTCCCCATATAGGTCCGTGTTAGAATGAAACTTCAGTAACCCATGCTTGTTGTAAGAGGCGACTACCCGTGAAGGTCCGGGTTAGAATGAACCTTCAGCAACCCATGCTTGTCTCCCCATATAGGTCCGGTTAGAATGAACCTTCAGTAACCCATGCTTGTTGTTAAGAGGCTTCACTACCCGCTTGAAGGTCCGGGTTAGAATGAACCTTCAGCAACCCATGCTTGTCTACCCGTGAAGGTCCGGGTTAGAATGAACCTTCAGCAACCCATGCTTGTCTACCCGTGAAGGTCCGGGTTAGAATGAACCTTCAGCAACCCATGCTTGTCTACCCGTGAAGGTCCGGGTTAGAATGAACCTTCAGTAGCCCATGCTTGTCGTAAGAGGCGACTAACGGTATCGGGTGGTCAGGTTTGCTGGCATGGTTGACACATGTCATCGGGTTCCCAAATGCGCAGGTCGATGCTCATGCTGTTGATCACTGGATTGTCTGGTCCACACTTGATTAATTACAGATCGCCGCCATATAGCTGGAATATTGCTGAGTGTGGCGTAAAACTAAACTCACTCACTCACTCACTATCATAACACTGCAAATAATGTAGGCACCATTTAATATCAAGATGATCAAGGATACTTCCTGTTGAGACACGAGTTGTTTACATTGCAGTGTTATGAGTCAGGAAACTGCATCTGTTGTTTGTGTCTTGATTTAACAAACACAGCAATAAGAAACATGCTTTATAAGGTTTAATTTGGTATTTCATCTTTATGAATATCCGTTAGTGTCTCAAGCCCGTTGATAATTCCTGGCGCAAGATTATTTGATCAATCTTCCAGCAGTACTGACATCTTGAGCATCTATCTACAACATTAGGAAACAATGACCCATTACTAGCTGGAAGCCTCTTGTGGGTTGTCAAAGACCAGGTCTGACCAGTCTTCAAGAGGAGACAAGCATATGTTGTTTGAAGACCAGTTCTAAGTTCATCTTCAAGTATGTTGTCGGAAGACCAGTTCTAACCACAGTCTTCAAGAGGAGACAAGATATGTTGTTGGAAGACCAGTTCTAACCACAGTCTTCAAGAGGAGACAAGCATATGTTGTTGGAAGACCAGTTCTAACCACAGTCTTCAAGAGGATACAAGCATATGTTGTCGGATGTTCTAACCACAGTCTTCAAGAGGAGACAAGCATATGTTGTTGGAAGACCAGTTCTAAGTTCAGTCTTCAAGAGGAGACAAGCATATGTTGTCGGAAGACCAGTTCTAGCCACAGTCTTCAAGAGGATACAAGCATATATTGTTTTAAGACCATCTTCATGTGGTCACTGATCTTCTTAGAAGATGCAAATCATATTTATTCATGAATACTTATGTTTAATATCAAGGAATTACAATAACATAAATGTAATTGCTTCAGTTGGAACATTTTAATGATATTTTCTACAAAGCATATTCCATTTCCATCTCACTTAGATAAAAACAAACTAGTTCCAAGTAAAAACACTATCTTAACACTGCCTAGGTGAAAACATAAACAAAAAAATCAGTTTCATATAAAAAGGTCACGTTGCCCAAAACAGATATTTTAAACAATTTAATGTGTTCACACTGGTTCTGTTGCATCAAGCACCTGCCCTTCAATGCACTCTAATGCACCCACTGCACCAGCCAAATACAAGCATGCTTATTATTTCTAACTAAACAAGAGTATTCCTATTACATCAGCCTACACAAAAGGTCACTCTTTGCTTTAGGATGCCTCCCACAGTTCTTTGAAGATGAGAATCAAAGCTGGAACTGATGTTGGTGTTACAACTGTGCGCTGTTAATTTTAAGAGAATCCCATTTAGTAAAAGCCCATGAAACTGATGAGGTTTTTGTGTTATCAATGTCAGTATGTAATGCTAATGAGCCTGCACTGCTTAAAGCCTCAGGGAACATGATTCCAATGTGTTTCATTTATGTTAAGTAATACGTGTATTTCTGCACGCAGGTTGAATTTTGGGAAAAAAAGATGATGGGTATTTTTTTTAAATTAATTTGTTCCAGGAAGTACAGGAAAATACTTACCCAATTATTTACTTACAAAATATAATAATTTGCTGTACATGTTGGGTGTCCTGGCAAAACAATTGTTAAAATAACATGGGTATGCCTTCAACAGGGCGCTGGGGTAGCTGCATAGTTAAAGTGTTTGCTCATCATACTGAAGACCTGGGTTTAATTCCCCACATAGGTACAATGTGTGAAGCCCATTTCTGGTGTCCTGAGATATTGCAGGAATATTGCTAAAAGCGGCATAAAAGTTAACTCACTCAAGGGAGGACAGAAAAAAGAAGACCTGTCTCCAGCAACGATTTTACACCCCACCTAACCTCCAGCATACACTACTCAAACAAGTTAAGGACCTCCTCTGATGTTACAGGCCATTTTGTCATTTATACACAAATAATTTAGTACACAATTCATACACAATGATCGAGAAGTTACACACTTGCAATCAAGACATTATGCACTTGTCAAGTACAGACACACTTGTGATCAAGAAGTTACAGAGCTGTACACCTGTGATTAAGTGGAATGATACACCTATGATCAAATTGTAGATACACCTGTGTTTCAGAGGTTTCTCAGGTGTCATTAAGTGATTACAGACCTGTGATCCAGTAGTGACACCTGTGATGAAGTTGAAGGATACACCTGTAAACACACCTTTGATCAAGATGTTGCATACCTCTGACATTTTTTTTTTTTGCTAGAAATTCCCATACTGTTTTCTCATAGATTTTTTTTCATTTCAGGCACAGGTACATTTGGGCGTGTTATCCAGGTGCGTCAGAAGGGGACGAAGCAATACCTGGCTCTCAAGGTGATGGCCATGGCAGAAATCATTCGCCTGAAGCAGGCTGATCACATCAAGAGTGAGAAGGAGATACTGTCCAAGAGCCATCATCCGTTTATTGTGAATATGTGAGTGCATAAGCTTTCTTAAACATGGGGTAGCCTAGTGGTTGATGGTTCACTCATCATGCCAAAGGTCCAGGTTCAATTCCCCACATGTGTGAACTTATTTTCTGGTGCCCCCTTCCATGTTATGTTTTGCTTAAAGTGGCATAAAACAAAACTCACTCTGTAAGCCTGATATTGTCAGGGGTGGAAATAACTTTAAAATTGCTAGTGTACTCCGGTACAGTGGCACATGTAAACTCACTTGCCCTGATATTTTTTCCACTATAAAGGCCGATTTTCTTCTTGATTTTTTAAATAAACAACATAATTAACATTGGAAAGTCAACTGGACACCGGTACAGCGTGATATGCAAAAAAACCCACTGGACTGGGACGTCGGGCAATGGGTTATTTCCACCCCTGTATTGTGTCTTGTGGCATTGTAATTATTAGATATATTTTAAGAGACTTTAATCGTGAGTTGATTCACAATCCTTATTAATTTATATTGTTTTTGTGTGAATTTCTCTGTGCTCCCTGTCAGCTCACTGATTAATATATGTATATGTATAAGGCTTAAATCAATAAAGGGTAATTGTGTTTTGTACTGATACATTGTTAAAACATGACACCCATGGTGATTATGTGCCAGTTAAAAGGGGCTTATATTCCCTGGTTGGTGTGTGATATTGGTGTAACATTGAATCCGGAATAACAGTGATACCGACACACACACTTATCTCCCCTCCTTCAAGCACAGAACATGATTCATACAAATATTTTTTCGTTGAGACATCATCAATTTTTTTAACTGTTTGTTAATTTTCCTAAAGTATACAAATTAGATTTTAAAAGTGTCTACATTCTCAAAAGTGCATGTTCATTACAGTTGACAGGCTTGTATCTAGGCGATATATGCATATATAACTCATAACACATTGACTGGTATCTTGAATACTTCTCATTACTCTTATACAGGCTACCACTCTCACTGGCAACTGAGTGATTGGATACTTATTTATATAGCTCACTTGGAAGAGGGATAAGTGTGTATATTACATGTTACTTTGTCTGTATCACTATGATGGATGTGTATATTTTGTCAGCCTATGTGATGACTTTATTCTCTATTGTTCCTGAAGTAAAGTAATGACCAAAAACTATTTTAAGGACTGTCAGAATCAGGTGATGATCAAAACTGATCTCTTTACCTCCCTGCTATATTACAGGTTAATATACATGTACAGTGTGGAGACAAGAACAGTTGTGTCCCTTATTATAGTAGTTCCAGTGTCGGACGAATATGGGTTTGAACAACAGAAAACATGGGTGGCATAGTGGTTAAAGCGTTTGCTTGTTATGCCTACGATCTGGGTTCGGTTCCCCACATGGGTACATTGTGTGAGTACCCAGACTATGATATTGCTGAATTTTGCTGGGAGCAGCAGTATTAAAACTATACTCACTCACTGAAAACAAGATTCACCAGACTCTTGGATTAGTGGATTTTAGTTGCAGACTACCGGTTTATATATAGTTTATATTTATTATTCGGTGTGTGTGTGTGTGTGTGTGTGTGTGTGTGTTGGCTCATCCTATGGTTAAAGACCGGTTCGAATCCCCAATCCCCACATGGGTGCAATGTGTGAAGCCCATTTCTGGTTTCTCCAGCCGTGATGTTGCTGGAATATTGCTAAAAGCGGAGTAAAACCAAACTCAGTCAGTATATTTATTATTCAGTTTGTAAGTCTATTAAATGCTATAACTGTGACATGACTTGTGTATTGGACATTCCATGAAATGTGAATCTTCATCTTTATAGGGTAGCCTCATGGTTAAAGCGTTCACTTATCACGCCGAAGAACCATGTTCAAATCCCCACATGGGTACAGTGTACCTACACTGTTTTAGCAGTGTGTTCTTCCTGTTCAGGCTGTAGGTGTATCACAGACTTTGTCTTTCTTGCATATAACCATTTGTTTTCAGGACGGCTTGACCCGTGAAGGTCCGGGTTAGAATCCCAATTGTGTAGATCATGCTGTTGATCACTGGAATATCTGGTCCAGACTCGATTATTTACTGACCGCCACCATATAGCTGGAATATTGCTGAGTGTGGCGTAAACCTAAACTCACTCACTCACTCACGGGTTGAGTAGCCTTGTGGCCAAGCATTCTTTCGTCATGCCAAAGGCCTGAGTTTGATTCCCCACATGGGTGCTCCCCATCTTGGTATTGCTTATGGGGCGGTGGGGTATCCTAGTGGTTAAAGCGTTCGCCCATCACGCCGAAGGCCCGGGTTCGATTCCCCAGATGGGTACAATTTGTGAAGCCCATTTCTGGTGTCCCCTGCTGTGATATTGCTGGAATATTGCTAAAAATGGCGTAAAACCGTACTAAGTCAGTCAGTCAGTTATTGCTTGTGTTGTCAGATTAAGTCACTCATGTTGTATTTTCAGGTTGTGGTCATGTCACGACGAGAAGTTCCTGTACATGTTGATGGAGTATGTTCCAGGAGGAGAACTGTTTTCTTATCTTCGCACACATGGGTTTTCCAAAAACTCAGATGCAAACTTTTATGCGTGTGAAATTGTATGTGCATTGGACTTCCTTCATTCCCAGCAAATTGTGTACAGAGACTTAAAACCGGAAAACTTGTTGTTAGACACAGAAGGACACATGAAAATAACGGACTTCGGTTTTGCTAAGAAGGTGATAGACAGGTAGGTACACAGGTAATTGACATAGCAACCTGGTTACCCCTCAGGTATGTCATTCATTATAACTGATCACTGCTCTGAAACCACTGATCTGCAAAAATGTGTCACTAAGTTATCAGTACTCACAAGTGGTGATTATAGTCCTATGTATAATTACTGTCAATCTCATGGAAAATATACCCGTGAAGATCTGGGGTACAATAGGTCTTCAGCAACCCATACTTGCCACAAAAGGCGACTATGCTTGTCGTAAGAGGCGACTAACGGGATCGGGTGGTCAGGCTCGCTGACTTGGTTGACACATGTCATCGGTTCCCAATTTCGCAGATCGATGCTCATACTGTTGATCACTGGATTGTCTGGCCCAGACTCGATTATTTACAGACCGCCGCCATATAGCTGGAATATTGCTGAGAGCGGCGTAAAACTAAACTCACTCACTCATGGAAGATGTGTTATACATAGAACAAGATGGGTAGATAGGCTAGATATCCACTTTGAATCCACTGATTTGACAAAAAATGTTGCAACTGAGTGTAACTACGTCATTAAACCTCACAATTGTTGATTACCGTAAATTTCTGAATAAGATGGAAATATGTTATACATGGAGCAAGATGGCTGGACAGACTAGGTGCGTGATGCTCATGTTCCCTGTTTCAGAACGTGGACGCTCTGTGGCACTCCAGAGTACTTGGCACCAGAGATTATACAGAGTAAGGGCCACAACAAGGCCGTGGACTGGTGGTCATTGGGGGTTCTTATATATGAAATGCTGGTCGGGTGAGTACATCCTTGGTTCAACCCCAGCTTCCACCAACTTTACAAAACGAGTGCTGTTATGAATCGTATCAAACAACTCTGTGACAGAGTGCTGTTATGAATCGTATCAAACAACTCTGTGACAGATCTAACTTTAATATATATGACAGTGTAGCATTTTCCCAAGTAACAGTACCACCTTCCACCATGATGCAACCACTTCACAAAAGGGAATGCAGTTATGAGGCGTATCACACATCTCTATCACAGATATGAATTTAATGTATATGACAGTGTAGCATTTTCTCTAGTTGCAGGAGTTAAATTTTAACTCACTAACTCTAGTTACAGGACCACTTCTGTGGTCTAGCAGATAAAGCATCTGCCCAGAGAACTGGAGGTCAGTGGTTTGATCCCCAGGACACTCCTTACCAAAGACATTAGAAGATGGTACTTGTTGTTGCCCTACCTTGGGGGACAGCACGGGAACCTGTTGTCGGCATTTGGGGGACAGCACAGGAACCTGTTGTCGGCATTTGGGGGACAGCACGGGAACCTGTTGTCGGCATTTGGGGGACAGCACAGGAACCTGTTGTCGGCATTTGGGGGACAGCACGGGAACCTGTTGTCGGCATTTGGGGGACAGCACAGGAACCTGTTGTCGGCATTTGGGGGACAGCACGGAACCTGTTGTCGGCATTTGGGGGACAGCACAGGAACCTGTTGTCGGCATTTGGGGGACAGCACAGGAACCTGTTGTCGGCATTTGGGGGACAGCACAGGAACCTGTTGTCGGCATTTGGGGGACAGCACAGGAACCTGTTGTCTCATAGTCTTTAGACTGTGTCTGTGTTTGGTATCCATGTTAAACTGTGGCACAATACCCTTTGTATTTATGCATCCGCTGGATTAAAATATCAGACAGGAGTGTTACCATCCCCTGCACAACTTCTCTGGAGGTTTGTGTGCACCTTCTAGTGAGTGAGTTTAGTTTTACGCCGCTTATTGCAATATTCCAGCAATATCACACCAGAAATGGGCTTCACACATTGTTGTGGGGAATCGATCGGGCTGAAATCTCATGCTGTTGAACCATTGTCTGGTCTTCGATTATTTACAGCCTGAGGAGTGGGCGCTTTAGCCCTGAGGCTACCCCACCGCCCCTATGCACCCTCTAGATGTTCCACTGAGGAAGGGGGATTTCATGAAACTACATCTCTTTCAGGTTCCCTCCATTCTATGATGAAAATCCATTCGGTATCTACCAGAAAATCCTTGCAGGGAAAATAGAGTGGTCCAAGGCCCTGGATCCTGTTGCCAAGTGAGCAATGTTTATATTTTATTTGTGATACAATTATTTCATGTGTACATGAATAGTATGTTGTTAACACTGATGTGTTAGCTTATAAAAACTTTATAGTCTGCTGTAAGTGGATATCTAAAATGTGGACGTAGGTTGTTTGTTGTAAATAAAGATAATGTCCAGGTTTGTGATGTCATTCCCCAAACTGTGTCATATGTTAATGTTATCCTACATTTCTCCTACTTATTAACCAATATTCCTGTTTCAGAGATCTAATTAAGAAGCTTCTTGTTCATGACAGGACAAGGAGACTGGGGAATATGAAGGTAAGACCAGCAAGAGTTGCTTCCCCTGGCTAGATTGACATTCACTCAGTGTAGAGTATATACTGATTATCATACATGTCACTAGGTTGAATATTGAGTGATGGGATATAGGTGTGTTATAAAACAGCAAGTATATACATGGCTTACATAGATGTAATAATATAACAATGGAGGGCAAGTTTCATGTATGGAGATGTTTCCAAAAGTTTTTAAGTTAAGTGGAATAAATATTTGCATTATTTTTAGATATACATTGTATAAGACAGTTGGGTATTAATCATTTTTCTGCAATGAACAGTCAACTTTCTCTGCAGTGTATTTTTAAAATCCGTACTCAACACTATTCAAACTGTATGATAACTCCTTGTAAATAATCTGGACCAGACAAGCCAGTGATTGATATTACAACAATATCAATGTAGTTGGGTTACAGTGAAATGGAATCAACCAAACCTGACGATGTGATCCAAAAAGTCATACTGTATTACTCAATGTGTGATATGCAATATATATGTAAATATAAACTTGACATCTCATGAGAGCCATTTTGGTGTATTGTGGAAAGCTGCAAAATGTACTTGCAAAATTGGTATAGTGGGCAAGCATTGGTTGCTGGGGGCTTGGTTTATGCCAGAATTCCCACGTGCTAGGACAGTGAACTAGTAAACCAGTAACTGTGACAGAGTCAACAGGTTATTGGGCATTTATGGCGAACTGTCTCTTCCAGTTTGGGGCTGAGGATGTGAAGAGACACCGATGGTTCAAGGGCATCAACTGGGATGACGTCTTCAACCGAAAACTCAAGGTGAGCAGATTGAGTTACAAATATTCAGTAGCTATGAGATATAACATTTGCAGTCCCTGTGTTTGATTAACCCATGAACAGATGGTGAGTATTATATTTAAGGATAGAGAATTTTCAGAGATGACACCAGGTGTTCACAAAAGGATGAGCATGTAGAGTCCTACTGGTCATAGAAAAAAAAGTGGTGTAGAACCCAACTCCCTCTCTCACTATTCATGCACTGCCCTTCTTTGTGATACTCCTTCAGCATGTGCATCTCTCTGTTTCAGCCCCCAATTGTTCCAAAGCTTGCCTACTCAGGTGATACAACAAATTTTGACGACTATTCCGATGATAACTGGCAGGACGCTGCTGCCGTTGATCAAGAAACAAAGGACATCTTTGCTGACTTTTAGTCGTCCTTCATTAAAGGAGAGCCCTCCATCTTGCTCAAGTGCCGAGCGTTGTCACCAGGCATGGACATTGTCGCATTTGTCAAGACCTTCTTCAACGACGTTTGGTGTTTTATTTCATTATGTGATGAAATGAAGGTATACCTATTAGTATCTTCCAGTACAGTCTTTCAAAGTGTTTGGCTTGCAATAAAGGTCAACCTGAACGTGGATCTACGACAATAACTGTTCTTATTTTTCCTGGAGCCATGCAGTCCTGCTTCTCACGATAGAAGAATGTGTGTGTGATGAACATTCTGTCCATGGAGGACCAAAGAATGTCATGTGACCAATATTTTACCCAACCACCTTAACTATTGTTTTAGAGATCGGTTGTTAACCACATATTTTGGCAGTCCTATGAAAAGTAGACACCAGACATTTTGTAGGTTTCTGAGAGACCTTTTAGACAATATCCTGCAACAAGAAGCCTCATTTTAACATTTGTCTCTGACTGCCATGGTTACAAGTCTGGCATTTTTAGGGATGTAATAAGTAAATTTAATTGATCATTTTGATGGTTGTATCCTCAAGAAAGAGCTCTTCAGATCAGCGGGCTACAGGCATGAGGACACATATCCGTGATAAATCCTGCCATTCCATTACTGTTGGTGAAGTGACAAGCATTTCTATTATTGTGGTCAGAGGGGCAGGCCCAGCCCAACTGACAAAGGCTCCTTTAAGGCATACTATTTTCATGCCCAACGGATGTTAATCAGGTCTACAACTGACTGAAGTCATTGGTGCATATCACAAACTAGAAGTATGATTATGCAATCGTGGATGATATAAAAAAATAGAAGTATGGATCTTTAGATTGGGAAGGATATCACAAACCTGATGAACAGACTCGCAGGTAAATGATGATATCAAAAACTAGAAGTACGGATATTCAGGTTTGGGAGTATAGATATATACTAGATGTATAGATATTTTTTTCTTGTTAAGAATATATGTATGGGTTGTTTTCTCTGTTTTGTTGATTTCAACTAACTCTTCTGCATTGACAAATCTGTTCAACATTTGAATACTATCTCCCATGTTCCTCAAACATTATGTCACACGCTGAGGTTGCCAGCTACTACAGCAGAGATTAACGTGTACGTGTATTCTAATAGGCTAATATTTCGATTTGCAGTTACTGTTGTGTTCAAAAATTTTAAAAACCGAAACATATTCCCACTGAAAAGCAATATTTGAGCAAGATGCTTTTATGGATGACATCTTCTTTATTCTAACATAGAGTGTTATACTGGCAATACATGTGACAGCTATTTCATTGACTACCTGTGTTGGTTGTTTAATGACTTACTCAGTAATATATATGTGATGGCAGTCGGAATTAATCAAGTCTGGACCAAACAATCCAGTGATTGACATCATGAGCACACGAAAGATCATCATGTTATTGCAGTGAATGCAGCCATAACATACGTCTGAGATTAAGACTAAGAATTGTACAAAAATAACCAAAACAATTTGTTTCCAAACGTTACCCATTTCTTGTTTTGTACTTGAGGGCATTTCAGGATATAAAAGACTTTTGTTTCAAAATATTTGATCAATTATCATTCATCATTTCACATAAAACATATTGAGACACACATCTGTGTGAGAATTCTCAAATCAATACAGTTTGTCAATACAGCAACACTAGACGTGTATTTCCTATTGATTTACAAAGTGTATATTTTTGTGTTGTGTAGTACATAGAAGAACTATTGTTCTTCTAGATCAATGGGTGAGTGAGTGAAATGATCAAGGTCTGATCAGGTTGTGGTGTGTGTTGTTTCAGACTCTCGTCTTCCAAAGGTTGTGCTATTTATATGGTGATTATTAATCAGTTTTCTAGGAATGCTTGAGATCTGTCTATTGTTGTTTAGTGAATATTATATTATGAATAAATTGCAAGTGATTCCATGTCATTTGATTAGTTAACAAGGCAATTTTCATGTTTCTTTATGTTTCCATAAAAAATAACAATTAAGACTACGCCCACTAACAGACTACTGCTTCCTGGATTGGCATATACTAAAATGGGCGGGGCTTGTACTACTTTTCATGCTGATTGATGCCATTGATTTCATATTGTTGTCATCATTTCTTTGTGTTTAGATCAAATAAGCAGTCTCCAAAATTATTGACGTATCTATTAAATTCATTAAAACAAATGTCAGTATGTTTTGCTTTTTGGGAGTTAAAAAAACCCAACAAACATTATAAGCTATGTAGAATTATGCAAAGTGTGCGATCCATTTTTTCATGTTTGTATCTCCGTGAGCTCAGGGGCACTGGGGTAGCCTAATGGTTAAAGTGTTCGCTCGTCACGCCGAAGACCTGGGTTCGATTCCCCACATGGGTACAATGTGTGAAGCCCATTTCTGGTGTCCCCATTGTGATATTGCTGCAATATTGCTAAAAGTGGCTCGAACTAAACTCACTCACTTACTCCATGAGCTCAGAAAATATTGAAGTCAATTCTACAAAAATAAATTACGTCATTGTACCTGTACATAAATGTACATGACCACTTTTATGAGATTACCATAGCTGCATTTGTACATGTGATATTATCAGTTTCACACTGCTGATGTCTAAAACCCTGAAAACCATCGAGACTGATTTCCAAAAATTATATTTTCCTTTGTGCAACAATATGAGATGGTTTTATGGGGTCTTGCATGAACGCATTACTTGAGTATGGTATATGTACCCAACTTAATTATTTTCAACCCACCATTATAATGGGAATATTTCTGGGTGAAGCATTACAACAATAATAAAATACTGTGATCCAGCTGTCAAAATATTACATCAACTGTTTCAAAGTGAAACTGTCCGTGAAGATATTAATATATTTGTTACTATTTATTTTCTCTTTTTATCATAAAGTGGAGATCCAATTACAAAGTAGAATAGAGTCTTTTATTCTGAGCGACAGGTGTGACGCTGACCACAATTATCATCTTAATTAGGAAGATTTCTTAATTAACATACGAGTTGTGCATAGCCTATTTGACTTATTGTCTTTAACTTAAGCCTGATTCTCCTGGTCGTAATTGATGATACAGAACAAGTACAAAAGTATTTTAATGGTTCTTTTGAGATTAATTTTAGATAAATCTATGTATGAAAAATAATATAAACAATAAATTATTCAATATATATGCATCAATTACATATCTTTCACTTTTCACTATTTCCAAATATCTTATGTAAACAAGCGAAATTAATATTGGGTTAAATTCAGCAAAGTGAACAAAACCTTTTTGTTATTTGTTATTTTAATGAACATTATTACGTTGCATTAAATTCTGATTCATTGGAATGCAATGATGATGAAGACTTTGTGTTTGTGTTATGTAGTTAGACGAGTAGCTGTTATTGCTTTCACTTTACTGACACTGGTTTTGTATAGTCATTGTTTATATATGTAATGATTTCAACATTTTACATCAAATAATCAAAATCCCATCACATGCACATTTTCATTGCCTTCCTTACCTCAATCAGCCGAGAGCAGGCATGACTATTCCATGTGGCATTGAGTTCTCTCCCCTTGAATATGTTTTTGATAGCGATGTGATGCTGTTTAGAATTTCAGATTTAATTTTCACTGCTTCACAATCAATAACCTTTTGAAAGATTAAAACATCCAGATGATATTTTGTGGTTGAATTGGTATGTATGACTGAAAAAGTGCAAGTCATTTGATTATTTCAGGGGGAGATAATTCAGTCGCACACTTTTTGCACAAATGTTTCATTGTCTTAACCCACCATATATTTACAAATGTCCGTTGTACAGTTTAATGAATCTCACATGGTGCATGGTGAACCTAATGTTATGCGTGTACATTACGGTGTGTAACAAGCTCACTGGTATTACTGGCTGCGTACAAGAGAAGTCTCTTAAATCAGATCTTTTATTGCAATGGGATGCCTCTCTGCATCAACACCTGAGGACATCACTATTGAAGGTGACATTCGGTCAACCCAGAGTGAACATTTGACCTCTTATTGAAAGATGTGTGTTTTCTTTAACCATCAGCCTCGGGTAGCCTTGTGGCTGCAGTGTTTGCTTGTCACAGCAAAGACCCGGTTCGATTCCCTGCATGGGTACAATGTGTGATGCATATTTCTGATGTCCCCTGTCATGATATTGCTGGAATATTGCTAAAAGTGACATGAAACCTTATTCACTCACTCCCACTTTACCAGCTAGATTCAAAATAGTGAGTTTAGATTTACGCCACTTTTAGCAATGTTCCAGCAATATCACGACGTGGGACAACAGAAGTGGGCTTCAAACATTGTATCCATGTGGGGAATTAAACCTGTTCCTTTACACGTGATGAGCAAACACTTTAATCACTAGGCTTCCCCAACGCCCCTTGAAATAGAAATCTTCCCTTCATACTGCATCCATGTGGAAGATGATGACATGGGGCTCTGATGTGACAGACGGCACCCACAGCTGTGTCTTTTTGCATTCAAATTGCACTTAGAAATTTTTTTGATACAGATAAAAAGCACTTGTTTTGTTCACCCATACAAAGAACTGAAGCCTCAATGCTGCTAAGAAATCCATGTCAATGTCCTCAAATCCTTGTCCAGAGAGGTATTGTATTAGAGTAAAACTCTCATTTTAATGATGTTGTGTACATCCTCTGGTGTTGTACAAGCACCTTGCAAGTACATCCTCTAGTGTTGTACAAGCACCTTGCAAGTACATCCTCTAGTGTTGTACAAGCACCTTGCAAGTACATCCTCTGGTGTTGTACAAGCACCTTGCAAGTACATCCTCTGGTGTTGTACAAGCACCTTGCAAGTACATCCTCTGGTGTTCCTCTAGTGTTGTACAAGCACCTTGCAAGTACATCCTCTGGTGTTGTACAAGCACCTTGCAAGTACAACAAGCACCTTGCAAGTACATCCTCTGGTGTTGTACAAGCACCTTGCAAGTACATCCTCTGGTGTTGTACAAGCACCTTGCAAGTACATCCTCTGGTGTTGTACAAGCACCTTGCAAGTACATCCTCTGGTGTTGTACAAGCACCTTGCAAGTAGAGTACAATATTGTGAGTATTGTTGCTATACTGTTTCATGTGTTGTTGAGCACTTTACTGTTCTGTTCCACTCCAGTCTAAAACCACAGGTAGACAGAGCATG